CGTCTGATATTGGCATGAAAGAAATGGGTATATCTGAAGCAGTGGTGTACTCGTTGCTGCGCAGGTGTAACATCGGTAAGTAAATGATACAAATTCTAAGTCAATGTCACTTACGCGTCTAAGTCTGGTATTTTCGTACCGTAGATTGTGATACAAAAATGCACTACGTGATGCACTGTTAAGGCACGGTACTTTGAATGTTATTTTCAGTAAAGAATAGATGGCATCGCATCAAAAATGCACAGCGAAACCCCACACAATTTTAGTTTTTGAAACATCCATCCTTTTGTAATGTTTAAGCTTGCACCACTATTTTTTGTCACGACCGTAAATACATTTTTTTCTGATCTGGCAATCCAAAAAGACCAGAACATGCAGTTGTACCTATTATTTTCATGTGTATTTAGTGATTATAAAATTACTTTAACTAGCTGTAACAGTGAACAAAAATAGACCCCGGTTTATCATGGGTTTACTAACAGTTTTCGAAACGGCCGATAAGAATAACTATCTTCTGTCATTTTTCGTGATTCACACTGTAGTCGTAGTGTCTCCTTGCTTCTAGTAACCTAGAGGACCATTTGAGCAGGCCACGGCTCCATGGTATCATAGCAACAGCAGTGCATGCATGCTAAACGGCATACCTTTTACAAACAATTACGGAAGGAATGACGGTAGATGTCCATTTTTATTTCCTTAAAAAATCATCTAGTCAGTATCTTCCAGAAACAGAATTTCACTAGTTTTCGCGGTGCTGCTGTCTAATACCTTAATTCATTGCTGATGTCGAACATTTTGTCGCTTTATAACTGTTGTTCTTTTCGAAGGCTCTGTCGTATTTTTTTAGAATCTATTGTTTCATCAGTTTTAAACAGAAATTAGTTAAGATTTCCATCAAGTAAGTTACTCAGTTTGAATGTTGTTTTAGAAGACGTATCAGAATTTTTCAACAACATCCTGTTGACCGGCGGCAATTGTCTGTTTGAGGGCATGAAAGAAAGGACCACCGAAGAAATAAGGTCGCTGGCTCCCTCTCACTGTGACGTACGAGTGACGTTGCCATCAAAGTATAAATATTAATTTATTGTTGCTGTCCAAAAATCGACTGTTCCTATTTAGTCCAATTTTTTACGCTTGGGGAGGAGGCGTGCTGCTGTCCAACGATGACCTGTTTCCTAGTATGTGCGTCACCAGAGCCGAATATTTAGAGAATGGGGAAAATATATGTGCTCAAAGATTCGTCAGTTAGTCATAAAAGAATGGGGCATCGTTTGGTCACCGGTAGGAAACTCTGACTACGCTCCCTAACTGATATCCCGCTTCTCTACTCAGAAGTCACAGAAAGGTCCCAAAGTTGCGTTCATGTTTGAGACCTCAATCTTGCTTAATCCGTCCGATAAAGCGATATCGGTATGAAGACAAACTGGAATGACCGAATGCCTGTTGGACGGTTTAAGGGCTCTTCTTTAACAGCTTACTTCGAAGTTTTATAAAAGATATAAACGAGGTAACATTCTAAAAATTTTTGAAAATTCTGCGTTTATTTCATTGTTAAAGTCCTTTGTTTCTTCTGACAGAAAACAAAATTCTGTAGCAAAGCTTTTGGGCAGATTTACATTCAGCAATGAATCGAAAAAGACTGATGACACTAATGAAGTTTTTTGTACTCATGTTAAACTAGAATAGAATTTATTTCGACAACAGTTCAGATTTGTGGTTATATACCAGTTCTACATCAGGCAGTCACTGAAGAGTAATTACAAACGTAGTACTATCACTCTGTTGATATAACATTGCACTGCAAGTTCTACTGCAACATTAAGGACGCAATAGCTTCAAAGCTGATGAAAACTTTCATCACTTTCTGCAACCAACTTGTAGGCGGTTTTTTCCTTAGTAGCGTTCACAACAAGATATATCCTGCTAGCGAAACGTAGCAGCGTAGTTGGCGTCATACATTACATTTTACATTATACATATTAAATTCGGTTAAGGTTTCTATCTTGGTTTTCCAATTTGATCCGTCTTCGATTATTATTCTGCCTGGTACCTCATCAGGTTTAGGGTTCTAGAAACTTTGTCAATGTGTTGCGCTGTTTATAATTTTTTTCGATAACTGTACTGATTTAATGTAATATTTTATAATCTGCCTTTCAAAAACGAATTAACTGCAATTCTAATGCAATGAGATAACTTAAAGTTGTCCGGATCAGTTGTATATCATGAGTTCAAAAGGTTCGTTAAAATGCTTGATCTGAATAAAAACGACCAGGTCAGAACATTAGAAAATTAGCTTCCACTTAGAAAGTAACAACTCAACAAGAAATATTTTTCATCTGCTGGCCATAAGAAGAAACAAGTCTTAGTTCTTTGCCAGTATAACCCTTAAAAAATTAACAGGAACCATTCTGAAAGTATGGCATAAAACCTGTCTTAAAATACATCATAAAAACTGTTTCATAAGGCAAAGACTAATACGATAATAAAATGTAAAGGATTCCATGAAGAAAAAATGTATGTAAACTAAGTGTAATTAAGATCAATAACCACTTAATAATTTCGTTAATATAAACAGCAGACTAACAAAGACTCAAGTAATTTGTAGCACCAGTAAAATCGAGGATTACGGTTTAATTCTCCCTTATTACAAAAGCTGGTGACAAGTTTCAAACGTTACTAAATATTAAATAACAGGCTATCTTTATCACCACCTCTACT